TCTACAGCTTCTTCTTCGCAAGTTGACTTACTTGCTAAGAATGACCTCTATTTGTATCGAATCCAACTGGTAGGCTTTCATCGTGTTCATGGTAGACCAGGCAGATCGAACAGAAACAGAAAAGCAGGGTTGCAGTCGGCTTTTTCCCGTGACATTGAGAAATCAAGTGAGATACTGTTTGACACAATCGACTTATTTCTGCTGTCTTTCTAGTCGAGGTATGGAGACGAAAAAGTTCAAAGATCTGTCGTCTTTTGGTTTCTATGTCGGCAAAGAGAAGACAACAACAGACGCACTCTCGTATACGGACAAGGAAAATCACACGGACAGTGTGATGGCAATCGAAACAAACACTTCACTCAATGCTAATGATTCACGTTCCTTGTGTACAACTAACAATCTTGCTCCTCTGACTGATCCGAAAGCAACAACGGCTGTTACGGAGACTTCGTCAAGCTTACAGTCATCTGGATCAAAAAATGATATTGGAAATCATATCAACGGTCGATTATCACTGTCTGATGATGTACGGTATTTGCTCTTGAAGCAACATTTTGTTCCCGATGGAAGACTTGAATGGCCATTCGCTGAACGAAAGACAAACAACACGATTGAAAAACGTTTCTTACGTCAAAAGCATCTCGTTGATAATAAACCATGGCTTGTCTATTCGCCTGCGAAGGCTGGTCTATTCTGTTTGCCTTGTGTTCTTATCATCAGACACAAGATGATCAATAGTCATAGAGATAGTTTGCTGGCAGCTGAAAAATTCATCGAGGTGTACGAGAATAAATGTGATGGCATTGATGATCTATTACTCGCCAAGCACAAGTTGGACGAAATGGACAATCGAGAGCGCGTGAAACCGATTATAAGAACAATAATACTCTGTGGTCAAAATAATATCCCGTTGAGAGGACACAGAGATGATGGCGATTTAAATTTGAACAGTGACTCTATCGTTGCCTGTGAAGGTGAAGTAGTCTCTCAATCATCATATCTAGAGTTCATCGAGTGTTTTCTTTTGTGTAGGAAACTTTCGCGCATTGCTTCGATATCGAGTAGATGGTGGTGATTCCATCCTTGCTCAACACTTATCAAAGGCAACACAGAACGAACTGATTGAAGTTTGCGGTGAATTCATTCGAGAAAAGGCGATTGAAGAAGTGAAGCAAGCCAAATTCTTGTACCATCATTGCGGACGATACCGCCGACGTTAATAACATTGAGCAGTTTACTTTCTGTGTACGATACGTATTTGAAGACAAAATTCAAGAGAAATTCGTCGAGTTTTTGCCAGCAGAAGATCGAACTGGGGAAGGTATAGCACGATTAGTTCTTGAAGAATTGAATAATCTCGGCCTCGATCCGCAATTTTTGGTTGGGCAAGCTTATGACGGGTGCAGTGCGATGTCCGGCAAATTCAAGGGTAACGATCGCCGTTAAAACTTTTTTAATTCCACTTACTGATCCTGTAAGGTACGTGTATCTTTCGGTCTATTTCAGGATGTCATGCATTTATCAAAAATCTCTACACAGGATAGAGCTAACAAAGACGACAGCCGAACAATCTGGACTGATGCTAAATATAAAGAAAACTAAAACCATGGATTTCGGAGACAGGAACATTGAAAACAAGATGCAGGTAGCAGGTGACACCATAGAAAATGTAGAGAAATTCGAATACGTCGGCAGCTTAATCGCTTGGGATAATAACTGTTCAGAGGAAATTAAAAGGTGAATAGGAAAAGCGACAAGTGCACTAGCTTCTTCAAAGCATATTTGGAAGAGCAAAAAACTGAAGATAGAGAACAAACTAAAGATACTAAACACTTATGTCTTCAGTGTCCTACTATACGCTTCAGAGACATGGACCTTAAAAGAAGCAGACAGGAAAAAGCTATTGGTATTTGAAATGAAATGTTACCGACGGATTCTAAGAATAAATTGGCGAGATATGATACGAAACGAAGATATCCGGAGAAGGATATCAAGGGAGGAGACGATAATCGATACCATCAAAAAGAGGAAATTGCGGTTGTTCGGCCACGTCTGCAGAATGGACGACAGTAGATTGTTAAAACATCTACTATTTGGAAAAATCGATGGAAAATCTCGAAGAGGGCGTCCATACAGAGAATGGCTGGCCCCAACGGGCGCTAAGCCTAAGGGACATGATGATGACTCTACATGTTAGGATATGCTGTCGATGTAAAGCTAGCACTAAGAATTCAAATATGTTTCATCTCATGAATGATAAGTTGTCCGAGGGCGCTTGTGATGTTAGACTCTAGCGAATATCTGTGTGAGTACCAAAACGCATTCGCTGATCCCGAGCAATCAATCGCTCAGAGGTTAAATTTTGTCTAAATTCTTCATGCTAACTTCATATCGATATCTTCTTATATATTGTTATAAGACTCAAACGAATAGATATTCGTTTTGATTCATCTTTTTCAATATTCNAATAGGATTATTTTTTTAAATTGATTGATGATCATTAATGAAATGAAAGTTTGTTGATGACATTTATTGTTATTTTTCACTTGACGGAAAAAAGACTCGAGGATGGTTTAAATGGAGTTAAAAACCTGTTCTGATAATTTTGATTTTGTAAAAAGAAACGGATAAACAATATCTCTTAATTCCCTCGACTGAAAGGAGGGTCATATGAAAAAAAATTGTTTGTTTGTTTGTGTCAGGGTAAAAGGTCAAAGGTAAAAAAAAAGATTTTTTTTGAAAATGCTCAAAACTTCATAAAACATCGTTTGAGAAAGCGTGTTCGTGTTCCAAGTCGATTGAAAATTAGATCAAAAGGAGATCCATCTATATTGAGTATAGGAGAAAAGAAACTATGGATGGTAGCGGCTAACCGTGAGTGGCCGACCGAAGGGAGGCCGGCGAAGGATTAGCCGCTAATCTCTAATACTTCGCATCGGTTTTATAAATAAGATTCTTGAATCAAGACTCGTGACCTTTCAAAGGTTTTGGAAGAATACGAATTAGGAATGAAAAGAATCTGTAATGAAATACTGCACGGAAAAGAATTCATCGATTGGTTCTAACAACGTTTTGATCTAAAAACCTGTCTTCGAAACATATAGGCTTTTCAGTTAAAATTAGCGTAAATATATTTCTTTACTCTTCAGTCGAGGGTAAAGCGAGTGACTTTCGACGAGTGTTACTAGTTTTTATATTACCACAAATAATGACATCAAATGTCGAGAGATGCATCTCGAAGGTACTGGATGAACTTTCATTCATACTCTGTTATACTTCTTATCTGGTTTCTATGGTAATTCCCTGGATCCAGTAGTAGGGTGAAGGAACGGTTGACGAAATATACCAGAAGTTAGGACTGCCTGCTTGGATGAAACTTCACCGAAGTGGGATACTGACTTCGGTACAATATTTGCTGAACTTTTCAGCTTTATCGTTATAACTTGCGTATATTCGCAATAGATGTAGCCCTAATCAGGAGTCTAAGACTTGAAACGTGACCTGTAAGAAGAAACATATTTTTAGCAACAGTAATAGAAAAAGGTTTTACATTAGGACCTATAGGAAAACGAGTGGAATAGAATTGTTATATAGTGTACGTTATTCTATCTTAGATAAAGTCCGATGGACGAATTCGAATCAATAGCTAAAAACTCGATTTTCTTTTGATTTTTTCTTGCAGGTAGTATTTGATTAAGAGCGTGATGTTTTAATCATAAGTAGACTAACCGTAAGTTCGTCTGTATCCACTGGTGTAACAAGCTGATCGATATCATGTACCAAAAAAAAGAAGGGTCAGAATGATAAATCCTTGCGATGAAGTTTTATTCGACAAAGTGGTACACAGTCGTGTAAAATTATACTTTTAATAGACATAGCGTTCGAAATAAATGATAAAAAAGAGATAGATAGCTTCTAGAATAAAATGGAATTCATTGGCAAAGTTGATGATTAGATAATAATTAAACATAATATATTATGAGGCACCAATCGATCTATAATAAGTTGCAGAGATCAAAGCAGGTCAACTCTTCAAAGGTCTGACCTGCCCATAATAGACCTATAACTTACTCAGCCTGCCTGTGCCTGCGACCTTTTTTCTTCGGCCTGGTCTGTGTGGTCTGCCGGTGAAGGCCTGGGTATTTTTTATATCATTAATATTATTGTAATAGCACAAATGTTATTGATGAATTCCGCTATAGCTCTCGAGACAAGCATAAATAAATTAGATGATTATGCTAAAGTCTCTGTACGACGAAAAAGGGTGAAACATTTCGATATTTCCCATGGAAAACATCTTGATTTGTTTTATTTTCAGGATGATATAAGAATTGAAGTAAAGTTTGAGAAACCTCTTTTTTTTTACAAAAGTTCGTTAGTAGTTAAGGGTTACAAAAGAGTTAGAATCACTTTAAGAAATAATTAACTGAGTAAGTAATCTGCAGAAAAACAGTCGAAGAAATTTTAGTATCCATTACGAGTCAAATGTTAATATGGAAGAGTGAGACTTTTATCACAATATTGCACTGTAGATCAAGCACTAATTAGTTTTCACAGAAAAAAAATGGACTAACATCAACATAGAGATAAATCGAATTGCTATTTTAGAAATATTTTGAATGATTCTGAAAGATAAAAAGTTCTCTTAGAACACTTTTACAAAAAGACAATCGACTATTATTAACCACTGAGCTTGGATCAGAAAATACTACCTCTACTTCATATAGACTCTATTAACTGTAACTGAAAATACTGAAGAACAATTAATGATGGATGTGTAACCCTGTCAATGGGCTGCCGACAATCATAAATGATTTGAGTGTTCATAAATGCTTTCCATATTACTCTAAAATATTTGTATATTTTATCACATTTGAATACTATTTTGCAAATTGTCTTAATTGCATCTTTTTTTACTGATCAATATTTAACTTATATGATAAAAATTTGGTGTAAAATAAAGTAGACAGATCACGCGGCCCGGCCTGCCTGGAGGTCTGATAAGTTGTCTTTGTTTCGCTGGACAACAAATTGCTAGTCTGAAGAAATGAAGCCAATTCTCTAGAAAACTTTAAAAACTCCTCGATTATTAATGAAACATTGAATTTGTATCTGTGAAAAAATATTCTCGAAATACTCGTAGGAAAGATCGTTTCAACTTTGAAAGAGACCAAGAGCAGCTTTTCTACAAGAGAATTCGTTTCTAGAATAACTTTTGGTGGACGACCAGTTTGATCATATGTAATCTAATCATTTCCGAAAGAAATCAATGTAGCTAAGGAAACATAAAAGATTTCTATTGTCTCAGATATCGAGTAATTAGTCAGAACTGCTTGCAGCGTCAATATAAACTGATTTCTTCTGTATGACTATCGAAAGTTCTTTATCTTATATTTACGTGATATTTTAAAAAATTTTCTCTACTATTTGCTAATCACCGATAAAGACTGCGACAAATTTAATCTTTCCGACAAACTTGATTAACGATCAATACCTATTCAGATGCAACCTAGTACAGCACTAAAGACGGAAGAGGACAAGATGAATCCGAGAATAATTAGTCTTTTATTGCCTTCTGTTCGTTCATGAATCTAAAATCTATTTTGTTTGGGCAACATAGACTATAACACTATAAATAAAAGAAAACCTTAGTTGATGAGATATAGTATATATCTACTCTTCCTGACATGGTAGATACGTGTATAATGATGTGCACAACTTTTATTGCATTAATACTAATCAATGACGTACTTTTAAAAAACTAAAAAATGATAGAACTTATGGATTTTATCTGAAGTTAGCAGTGGCGGATTAAGGGAGGGAGGGGGCGCGGTCACACCCCCTTCGAAATTATCTTATACTATATTATGGCGTTTGAAAAATCCCGATTACTACAAAGACAGCTGGAAGAAAAGTCAGGAAGATATTCTACAGCTTCTTCTTCGCAAGTTGACTTACTTGCTAAGAATGACCTCTATTTGTATCGAATCCAACTGGTAGGCTTTCATCGTGTTCATGGTAGAGCGGGCAGATCGAACAGAAACAGAAAAGCAGGGTTGCAGTCGGCTTTTTTCCCGTGACATTGAGAAATGAAGTGAGATACTGTTTGACACAATCGACTTATTTCTGTTGTCTTTCTAGTCGAGGTATGGAGACGAAAAAGTTCAAAGATCTGTCGTCCTTTGGTTTCTATGTCGGCAAAGAGAAGACAACAACAGACGAACTCTCGTATACGGACAAGGAAAATCACACGGACAGTGTGATAGCAATCGAAACAAACACTTCACTCAATGCTATTGATTCACGTTTCTTGTGTCCAACTAACAATCTTGCTTCTCTGACTGATCCAAAAGCAACAACGACTGTTACGGAGACTTCGTCAAGCTTACAGTCATCTGCATCAAAAAATGATATTGGAAATCATATCAACGGTCGATTATCACTGTCTGATGACGTACGGTATTTGCTCTTCAAGCAACATTTTGTTCCCGATGGAAGATTTGAATGGCCATTCGCTGAACGAAAGACAAACAATACGATTGAAAGACGTTTGTTACGTCAAAAGCATCTCGAGGGTGAGGGTGTGGGTGTGGGGGTATGTATGTATAAGGAAAACTAAATCTATTTCTATTGCTAAACTCGCAGGGGTGTGGGGTTATGTATGTATAAGTAAAAGTAAATGTATTCCTATTGCTAACCTCACAAGGGTGTGGGTGCATATATGCATAAGTAAAACTAAATCTATTTCTATTCCTAAGGGTGCTAGGGATTGGTCACTTATATTATAAATCGAATTAGGCAGCTACTCGCACAGTCAGCTGTTCGAATTGGTAACGATTATGGTGAGTGGTTTCAAACAGACGTAGGAACAAGACAAGGCGACCCTTTGTCACCACTCCTCTTCATCGCATATCTAGAAAGGGCAATGGACCAGGTGAGACAGAACACCTACGGAGTTAATGTCAGCGGAATACTCATAAACAACCTGAGGTTAGCAGACGATATTGACCTTATCGATGAAGATCTTAGCTCACTTCAACGCTAAATAGAGCTAACAAAGACGACAGCCGAACAATCTGGACTGATGCTAAATATAAAGAAAACTAAAACCATGGTTTTCGGAGACAGGAACATTGAGAACAAGATGCAGGTAGCAGGTGACACCATAGAAAATGTAGAGAAATTCGAATACCTCGGCAGCTTAATCACTTGGGATAATAAATGTTCAGAGGAAATTAAAAGGCGAATAGGAAAAGCGACAGGTGCACTAGCTTCTTTAAAGCATATTTGGAAGAGCAAAAAAATGAAGATAGAGAACAAACTAAAGATTCTAAACACTTGTGTCTTCAGTGTCCTACTATACGCTTCAGAGATATGGACCTTAAAAGAAGCAGACAGGAAAAAGTTATTGTTATTTGAAATGAAATGTTACCGACGGGTTCCAAGAATAAATTGGCAGGACATGGTACGAAACGAAGACATCCGGAGAAGGATATCAAGAGAAAAGACGGTAATCGACACTATCAGGAAGAGGGAATTGCGGTTATTTGGTCACATCCGCAGAATGGACGATAGCAGACTGATAAAACATTTGTTATTTGGGAAAACGATGGAAAATTACGGTGGGGGCGTTCATGAAGAGAATGGCTGGATAACATAACTGAGTGGTGTCAACACAGTGGACAGGAACTGTTCCACCTAGCGCAAGATCGGCAGGCGTGGAAAAATCTGATCCCATAAAATGGTTGGCCTCAACGGGCGCTAAGCCTAGGGGACATGATGATGACTATACATGTTAGAATATGCTGTCGATGTAAAGCTAGCACTAAGAATTCAAATACGTTTCATCTCATGAATGATACGTTGTCCGAGGGCGCTTGCGATGTTAGACTCTAGCGAATATCTGAGTGAGTACCAAAAACGCATTCGCTGATTCCGAGCAGTCAATCGCTGAGAAGTTAAATTTTGTCTAAATTCTTGATGCTAACTTCATATCGATATCTTCTTATATATTGTTTTAAGACTTAAACGAATAGATATTCGTTTTTATTTATCTTTTTCAATATTCACTTTTGAATACTATCAAATTCTGATATTTTTTAACATGGACTTATTTTACATTTCATTTGCTTCTACTCACCAGTGGAGATGTTCGTCAGTTGATATTTTAGAATGCGATTATTTCGGGAATCAGTATGAAATATATTTCCAAAACTATCAAAACTCATTGAGTTTAGAAATGGTTCATTAAATTGGAAACTATTCCCGTCACATCCAATTATACATCGAAAACCACATGGTCCTTCTCCAACAATCCGATTATTTTTTGCATCTACGATAAACAAATATTTCTTAGCATCTAATGCAACTCCAGTAGGGTAGTCGAGTTCAATAATTGAATGTGGCGATTGACGACCAGCAACAGTGATGCCCTTTGTTTCTCCTAATGGAAATAATTGAATTCGATCATTCCCAGAATCTGCTACAAATAAATCAAAGTTAACATCAACAAAGATTCCCCAAGGAGAATGAAGCTGAGTCGAATCAGATCCGAGTTCATTTCTTCCAATAACAACTATCTCATTCGTTGAAGAACTTTTCATGTTTCTTCTTAGCACTTGATGGTCGGCAGTCACTGAACAATAGAAACGATCGTTGATATCGATAAAGATTTCGGCACAATTAGGTGATACATTCGTGATAATGGTAAAACTATTTTTTTCCGAGATCCATCTCATCAGCACTCTGATGTGAAGTCCTGCAATAAAATAAATATCACCATTCGATCTTACAAATAGAGATGAAAGACGTTCGAAGTTGGCTGAAATATTTTGTGTTGGATTGATACTATTGTTATGCCATACTATAATTTGTTTCTTATCTTTACTAAGGACATAAATTGAATTTTTAGTATCAACAAAAACATCCATGGGCTTGGCACCAACAATCGATTCGTTGGCAAATATTATTCCATTAAGATTCCAAACTGGTGATGAAGGTAAATTTGGTTGATGGAGTGAAACAGCTGAATTATACGTATAAAAGAATGTTAATTGACAATTTTCTCTTTCTCAGCATATTTTTCGTAAAAGAAACTCATTCAAGAATTAGGGATATACTAGAGACGAAAGTCGATCTGTCTCGTTTCAGACACTAAATAATCGTATTAATTATAGTTTTTTTAAAAACTCAATATACTCATCTGAATAATTCATAATCTCCTACAGCTCTATAGAATTTTCGTATTCTAACACTATCGAGAAGATTGAGATTTTTGATAAACTCATACTTTTAATTCTTAGTTTTAAAAACAAATAAGTTTTTCTTAATGAAAGTATTTTCTTCAATGTAAAAGAACAGCGAAATTCGTTTTAAAATAACAAACCTAATGTTTCATAATTGAAAATAAGAAAGAATATATAACTGTTGTACATTGTTCAATAAAATAACCGACGGTGTATGTGCATTTTTGATGAAATATTTTTAAATATTATAAGGATTCAATAAGAGTTTTTATATAGTTTAATATAGTAGAAGCTCAATTAGCCTTCCAGAGTTTTCTGTTGATTATTTCTGAAGATCATGTATTATTACATATGAGTTTTATTAACAAGTTTTTAAATATGTCAAAATATAATTGATCATATCGAAGAGAATATATTGTTATTACGTATGACTTTAGATGTAGTTTAATTACATATACATGACTTTTGCAATATTTAATAATATAACATGAAATAAACTGTCAGCGCGCACTCCTTTGTATGTTTTTTTAAAATGTGAAGCATGTTGAAATTTGGTATACTTTATGACTTTTGATTAGTTATCTATCTATAGTTGTTTATGATTTACAATAAATCATATGGTCTACAGAAGACTATATAATACTTTATATAAAATGTCTCTGAAAGACATCTATGTATTAAATAAACTAATGATGATTATATGAAATCTCATAGATTTCAATTTATCATTGTACATATTACGTGATTTACAATATCAACAGTCTTCCATAATCCTGAAAAACTTTCCATTTAGGAGGAATATATATATATGAAATATGTGTTAAATTTGAAAATCATCAAAATGGTTTTTACTCGATATAAAAAATTCACTTCAATTATTAACATACGAATAATGATAATACCAAATAAAGATTTGATGATTGCAAACATTTCTTAGAAATATTTTATTATTAATTCTATTATTTATCTCAATTGACAAATATTTTTCGTTCTATCATATATCGATTATACTATAATGATATTTATTTCATCAATGAATACATAATTTATGGCACATATACGTGTTATTCTTACTTTTTGACAATAAGCAGTTGATTTTTGTTCACTTTCAATATACTTACATCATAAGTTGGTTTTTATCTTCTAACTTTTACTATTCTGTTCTGTTCTGCTCCTTTTGATGTGATCGGATGAAAAATCAAGTCAAGTTTACTTATTTATAATACGCCACAGTGTGGTAACTGCGACACGTGTTCATATGAATTTTGATTGTCTGTATGAGTTCATGAATTAATGGAAATAAATTTCTATAGTTTATTAAAAACTACAACATTTACATTTCATTTTTTATCTTTGATCTTGAGTATCTGTTCAAAAATCTTGAAAATAAATCTAGTAGTGAAAGAATGGCCAAAGAGATAGTCATTGTATTATAATTAATGATCGTATAAAAGAATTGTTTCCATTTCAGAAGTCTAACTGCTCCAATTTGATCTTCTCTGGTTAACGATGTGATTTTGATAGCGAAAACACGATTTTTTATTTGATTCGAACGTTTCGTCAAGTTTCAGTTGACATCTTCAGCAACAACTCCACGACCAACACATACAAGATAGTGGTATGTATGCTAAATGTCGAAAGGAAAAATATCGAAAGTGAAAAATATCGAAGGGAAAAATGTCGAATGAATAGGAAAGTCGTGTCTAGTGTTGATTATCAAATATTTATTCGATTGCAATGAGAAAAAAAAGAAAAGTACACTTTTTCAAATGATAAACAACTAGAAAAAAATTTCGAACAGAGTTAATGTCCATCGTCGCGATAAAAATTATTTTCTCTTCCCAATGAGTAACGATAAATTGTCCAACAATTGTTCCACATTGATGTTTTTGTCGTTATATCGAGCCATAAGCGTATCAATACGCCCTTGAATACTATTTGTAGAACGTGGAACTGGTCGACGTCGTGCACCTGTGATGGTTTGCACATACAAGTGTTGAAACC